TTTTTCTCTGACCCTCCACCTTACCAAACATGATATCTTTCTCCAGCGACTGCTCCCTCCTGACAATATGTCCAAAGTATGAGAGACGAAGTTTGGCCATGTTGGCCTCTAAAGAGCACTCTGGCTGCACTTCTTCCAAAATGGATCTATATTATTCAACCATTAAAAGGATTTAAAAGTATTAATTAAAAGTACTAATACACACTATAATGAGTTTGAGCATCATGCTAAATTGAGGGCTAACATAAAAGGGCACATGCTATATAAAAATCTCTAAGTTGAGTTAATTCATAGACACAGAAAACAGACTAGTGGTTTCCAGGGTCTAGGAGAAATAAGGAAAAGAGAATTCTTATTTGATGGGTATGAAGTTCCCTTGCAGGTTAATGAAAGGTTCTGGATCTAGATGGAGGTGGTGGTTGTACAACATTGGGATTGTACTAAATGCCACTAAACAGTTCACATTAAAAGAGTTAATTTTATATTGTTTGAATTTCATCTCTTAAGGGAAGAAAAAAAAGAAAGAAAATAAAAACAAAAATACCTGATATGTTTGTAGTTAAGCCCAAGATCCACTTCACGGGTCAATTCCAACTCAAAGCGACCCTGTATAGAGTTTCTGAGGCTATACATCTTTACAGGAGCAGAAAGCCTCATCTTTCTCCCACAGAGCAACTGATGGGGTTTGAACTGCTGATTCTGTGGTCAACAGTCCAGTACTTATCCTATAGTGCCACCAGGACATCTCTGTGGTAAGACTGTAGTTCTCAAAATGTGATCTGAAGACAACCAACAGCAATACCACTGGGGAATTTGTCAGAAATGCAAGGGTGTTGGAAGCCCTTCAGATGATCCTGATGCCCACTAAAGGCTGTGGACCACTGTTTTAAGAATCAAATACTACAATTGAGCACATATGGTGAATAATTGTCATTATTGTAGCTCTGCCCATCGGGTCACATTTTACAGACTGAAAATGAGACTCCATATCTTAGCGTACCAAATAGCACAGCTGACACCTTAATGAATAAAGTGTATTCGCTTCTACTCTGTTTGAAAGGTTCAGACTCCAGAGACAGATGGAGACAAACTGCACTTGGCTCCACCACAGCCCTCCAAACAGTTTCTCATCTCACCCCCTGCATCTCCTCCTGTTGGCTGGCAGCCCATCAGTGATGCCACACCAGTCCTCAACTATGACCTCCTCTATGCTGTGGCCAAACTAGGACCAGGTAAGTTCCATAACCTTTTCTGAATGTAAACCTTTGTCAGCAACCTAGAAAAGCCAAGCAAGATGAACAACCTTGAAATTCCGAGTTAGTGGTAACACCTACATTTCTAATGGATTTATTGCTATACGTGGACCATGCAAGGGAATGATGAATGAGAACGCAGCATCAGACTGTACATTTATTTAAAGCAATTCAAGGACGTGTGCAAAAGTGGTGACAGTTCACGCAACTTCCAGGTTACAATGCAGGTATTTTAAGATCTGAATTTGCTACCTAATTCTTTGGGATTTCTCTCTGAACCACACAAGGTAGATATTTTCTTAAAGCTGATAAAATGAACTCTACCAACTGGCAGGAGGCTTCTATTACACAATCCTGTTTTGCTGTTGCCTCAGGTGTTGGTCCAAACCCAAGAACCCTCTGCTACAAGGCAACTTACCTGCCAAAGTGAAGCCTCCAAGGTTTAACAAAGTCATTCATGGTCACCCTTACCTTTAGGACAATCCTCTGGTCACTTTATTCTGATGTTAGTATTTGTAGCTGACTCATCCATTTCCACTGCAGTATTATTCATCGACTCTTCTCTGGATGGCTATTTAGATACAGATTGCTCCCAGGTTTTTGGGGGTGTTTTTTTGTTTGTTTGTTTTTCATTGTTGCAAGCAAAGCTACAGTTAATATTCTTGCAAATATCTCCTATATACTTGTTCAAAACTTTCTTTACGTTTTATGCCCATAAATCCCATTGCCCTCAATCTTAGCTGCTGATGCTTGCTCTCCAGTGCAGTTTTCTTGTACCATATCAGGCAGGGAGTGATGGTTCTGTGGTAGAACATTTGCTTTCCATGTAGGAGACCTGGGTTCGATTCCCAGCCAATGAATGTTACATGTAGCTATCACCTGTCTGTCAGTGGAAGCTTGTGTGTTTTGTGATGATGAACTGGTTTCAGTGGAGTTTTCAGAGTAAGATGGAAGAAAGGCCTGATGATCTGATCCTAAAAATCAGCCAGTGAGAACGCTGTGGATCACAACTGTGAGATCTGTCACCAACCATGGGATGGAGCAGGGCTGGGCAGTGATTCATTCCATTGTGTATGGGGTTGCCATGAGCTGGGAGCTGAGTTAATGGTAATTAACATCCACATCAAGAGGGAAAATTAGAGAGGTTGAAACCAGGTTACAGCTAAGATTTTTGGCATGTGGACTCAAAAGTAAATAATGGGCACAGATAGTATCTGCTCTGTCTACTGAGAGTAGCCCCTGGATGGGAGAGGGGCTTGGAAAATCTAACCCCAATGTCCTGACCCAAGCCCAAGGATTCTAATTGAATTGATCTAGAATAAAGTCCGAGTTCTGGTGTGGCTCTGTGAGATAAAGCACTATACTGCAAGGTTGGGTTGAACCACAAGGCCAGTGGTTCAAGCTCCCTAGCTGCTCCTTGGAAACTCGATACAGGGTTGCTATGATTCAGAACCAACTTGACAGCTGTTAACAATAGCAACAACAAGAATGAAGTCCAGGCATTTGTTAAAAGATGATTCTACTGTCCAAATGGGTTTGATGTGATAGCCAAATATCAAGAATTATAAATTAGAATAAGTCTTAATGTTGTCATGAAACTATTTTCATCAGAATCAACGCTCCACCCCCACTCACCCCTACATGTTTTAAAACTACAGTTTTAATCATGAGTAATGCTGCTTCTTGTATGGACTAAAACTTGAGTACTTTGAAAACTAGCTAGGGTGATCAATTGTCCTGTCTTGCTCAGCACTGGGGGTTCCTACATGAGGGTGTTTCAGTGTTAAAACTGAGAAATTCACAAGCAACCCAGAACAAGTTGGTCACCTACTGGGCACTCAGATTAGGATGAGGCTGATTTGATTAATAAGCACTTCCTGCAGGAGAATAACTGCCCGTCATGTGGTGCAGGGCACTATGGCTGGAAAGTTCAATTACAGCAGTCTCAAGAGCAAGCTCCCTGGGAGTTTCTGTATGATCAACATCTAGTCACGCAGCTTTTTGAGGCCTTTAAAATAACCATTGATTCACCCTCAAAGAAGCTTTTGTGAGCAGCTGTAGGCGTCTAACTTAGATGTACTTGAAAGGAGCATCATCGTGAGGGAGATTCCTTGTAAAATGTGATTTTCTTGGAAGTCTAGTTCACCTGCAGGAATCCTGAGCATATATACCCCCCATTCAAAGAGGGGCATGTGTGTGAATGGTGGGGGTATGCTCAAACATTATATATTGCACAAAGTAAGGTGAGTCTACTCAGGTCGACCCCTGTAGAGCCATTTTCCACAGGAGTTCAGGAAACTCAACACAAGCAGGCAGGTACAACCCACCCAAATGGACTGCTGAGAGTTAAAGCCCTTTTGCCTTCCAGTTTGACACCTGTACACAAATATTAATAAGAATGCATTTGAAAACATTGTAGAGTGGCTGTGAATGTGAGCAAACAGAGCTCTCCATCAAATCACTTTGGTCTAGGCTAGTGGCCAACCTACCTGCATTTTATAGAAGGGGAAACCGAGACCCAAAGAGGAGAAAACTCTCTTGCCAATGACAGAGCTGAGATTTCTAATTCAGTGTTCTTCCTAATTTATCCTTTATAATGGAAGCCTCGCCATAGACCAACTCCCTAGCCATTATACCCCAGTTGGTTTCTGGTCTACTCAGCTTCAGAAATCTTATCATTTGTTTAATCCAGAATGTTAAAGAAAATTAATGTTTACTAGAGTCAATGGACTCCAGTGTGACACTGTAGGATAAGTTCTGGACTATAAACCATGAGGTTGGCAGTTCACACTCACCAGTTGCTCCTCAGAAAGCCTATACAGAGTTGCTATGAGTTGGAACCGATTCAACAGTATGTAACAACAACAATAACAACAACAAAGTCAATGTTTACTAAGTTGATGTAAAGAGAAGTAAGAGGAATTCTCAGAAACCCTCAGAGCTATTGGAACTAAATCCTGGGTCTAGAAGGCACAGCCAGAAACAAGTCTTACCTGGAATTGACGGAGACCAGTGACTAGAGAGGAATTTAGGTCCAGATCCTGTCACAGTGGAAGTTGTTGTTGTTGTTAGGTGCCATCAAGTCGATGTCAGCTTGAGGACTAAGGTGTGCCTGACCCAAGCCATAGTATTTTCAATAAGAAAGCTGGACAATGAGTAAGGAAGACCGTAAAAGAATTGATAGTTTTGAGTTATGGTGTTGGAGGAGAATATTGAAAGTGCCATGGGCTGCCAAAAGAACCAATAATCCGTTTTGGAAGACGTGCAGACAGAGTGCTCCTTGGAGGCCAAGATGGTCAAACTTCATCTCTTGCTTCGGACAGAGGAAGTAAGAAGGAAATTATATTAAAGAGGGAGAGGAAAAGAACTGGGGTTCTCTTTTAGAGTTGTGAGTAAATCAACAATATTAGAAATGGATGTCTTACCCTTAATTGCATGTTAAAATAAGGGTCAAGTCACCCATGACATTTACCTTCTGTTATAATAATGAGTATACTGTCTGTCACTTAGAAAGTGCCTTGAGTAGGAACTATTATTGCCTGCATTTTACACATCAGGAAACGAAACTGTAGAGACATGGACCAGCTTGCCCACGGTGACACAGCTGGTTGGTGGCAGAGACAGTATCAAAACCTGGACCTTCTTAATTAAGGAACTGAGCTCAACTACTTTGCCAAATAACTTTCTTCTCTCCCATCCAAATATTAACTAGGCCCCACCCTGGTTAGCTTCTGAGATCAAATGAGAACTGCTGTGCTCAGGGTGCTATGGTGATAAACTGGCCTTCTCGAAAGAATAAAATTAAAATCAAACCACTTGCTGTCAAGTTGATTCCAATCAAGATGACCCCCTTGTGTGTCAGAGTAGAGCTGTGCTTCACAGGGGTTTCAATGGCTGACTTGGGGGAAGCAGATCTCTGGGCGTTTCTTCCAAGGTGCCTCTGGGTAGATTAACCTTGGTTAGAAGTTGAACATGTTAATATTTGCACCACTGACTAACTTTGCTCACTGTAGACAAGACATTTTTCCCAATCCTGACTTGATAAATATCTAGCTACATTGTAAGCTTCTAGAAAGCCTAACTTAGTGTCTGGTAAGTGTGCAAATAAAGACCTGTGCATTTTTGTGTGCAAAAGAAAATACTGAAAGTGTCCTGCTTTTCAAGGATGACTGATATTCTATCCCACTGAACAGATGCGATTTGGATGTATTTTTTTCGTTTGCTTCTCTTCATTTGCTTACCCATTTGTCCCTTTCCTGTGTCCTTGAAGTTCCCTCATCTAATACAGATGATTGATTTGTATCCAACAATTGGGTTGACAATATCACAGAGGTGACATCCAAGGACTGGGTCTTCTGTGAGTGTTTCAGCTGCAACAGTCAAGGAGCAGAGCTCACACCCTGCATTCTCCCCACACCTATCTTTTCTCCTCACCTCACCACCAACCAAGGCAAGAAGTTACACCTATAGTCTGTACCTGGCATTTTGAATGAATGCTTGCTTCTCTTAATGGTAATTTTCTATTGTTCAACTTGCCAGTTTCCCTGCTTTTTCAGGAAAGAATATGTTTTATCCAATTTAGTATCCCAAGTACCTAATAGCACCTGACACATAATAAACCAAACCTATTGCCATAGAGTTAAATCCAACTCATAGTGACCCTGGATGGGAGCAGATGCAGACAAACTCATCTTTCTCCCTTGGAGCAGCTGGAGGGTTTGAACCACTGAACTTGCAGTTAGCAACCTAATGCTTAAGCCACAGCACCATCAGGACTGCTTAGTAGATGCACTATAAACACTGAATGAATAAATGAATAGATCAGTCTATTAGGCTGCCTAGAGATATTGTCTTCACTGGCAAATTATTGCTTTCTTATAACTTTAGCCAAACTGAGCCAGACAGCATTCAATTAATGTTTCCTCTAAAAAGAGTGCTTCCAGCATTTCCATCTGGAAAAAAAAAATGATTTAGAAAAA